CCTTCTTTACCTGACACACTAAACAATTTATAAGAGTACTATATACCGGGCTACGCCGTAGCAATGTATCCAATTTTTCCTATTGAAAAGTATGTGGACCAACATAAAAGGGTCGCATTCATTGCGCCGCCAGCGTGTCGTCTCGTTAGTAAATTCGGTTACGCCGTTCAAAGTTGGTGTGCATTGGCTTGTCAAACTTAACTTCTTGATTCCTACGAAAAACTCGGAAAGGCATTCGGCTGTAATTTATGTAACACCTTTGAATTGCCGTTCGAAATTTGAAATATACCTGTGTTTCTGTGACTCCTTTAAAAAGCTTATGTATGCAACATTACTCTTCTTTTCATTAATAAGAAATCATTTATAAATTTTAGCAATTTCAAAAATGATTTATTACTTATGTTTTGGAGCATTTGGGCCTTGTACAAGGTTAATCCTAATTCGTATCCAGTAGGCTACAATATAGTAATGATATTAGTTAGTACTTGTCCAGTAACGCTTAAACGTCGATTCTAGCACCTGCATCATCAATTAAGAAATTACTGTTAAAACCCCAACAAAGGCAATTAAAGCTCGCAGTACTATTGTACCTTAGCGCATGCGTCAGTAAATTAAGAGAACCACATATTCTAAAATTAGTTGGCTTTGGGAATAAAAGGTTTGCTATCATTATTATACGTAAACGCTTGAGAAGTCTGTTCCAAAATTGTAAAATCAGAATAGACTGTACTTATCATAAAAATCTTTTAACGATTGCATCGCATTGGTTAAATTTATTAATGTTGGTACTATTACTAAAGTAGACCGTAATATGGATAATATAAATGTATCCATAGAATTATCCCTACGTAGGACTGACAAGATGAGGTAGACGAAATGTCAGCAATTTCTTAAAAGAATATTCTTTTGCGTTTATCTTTAAATCTCTTGTTATAATAAATTGGACGATTATAAGTTGAAACAAAAAGGTTCAATATATTCAACGAAACGCGACTTTGTCAGCGATAATTTTAGATAAAACGTATCTGTCAGTTTACGTTATTGTGTATCACAATAAAAAATATATTTTTATCGTACTTAAACTATTTTTGCGCTTTTGTGCCTGACTAACGTCAGCGACTTTGTATCTGAGGCATGCCGGTTTCATCACTAAGCTTTTCTTTGCGTACGAAAGTGTTAAAAATAATATTTGTTTATTATGGAATATAAGATACAGGTATCACATATTCCACGTCCTTAAATTTGAATCGGTAGAAATACCTACTCATCGGCAAAGAAGACAGAGGGTATAGGCCGGGAGAAAAATCCGGCAAAAAAAAACCTCGGTACTATGGTAAACAACCCTTATTTTAAAACAAATATCGCAAATTAATTAGAAGTAGCCTGTCTAGTACTATACGCACATAGTATATAAAGTCCATTGGTGCAGCTGGGGATCGAACCTACAGTCTCAAGGATTAGAGTCACCTTCAGGTTCAGCTAACACAGCTCAATATATGTATACTTTAGATGATATAGTTATTTGATTAATCGCTATAATCTATAAGATATAAAAATGAATATAATCAAGCATTGGGATTGCCAGGACCGAAGCAATTACCAGTGATGGATTGTTGAACTTCTCTGAGACTCGAGTGACCCGCTGTTTAATAAAGTCTTGTTTCATTCTAAAGGATTTTTGTCATTTGTCACAATGAGAGACGTATTTATAAAAGTAAGAAATATCACATCTCTTTGGGACGGTCTTAATTACTTTGAGAATTGGCCCTGTAAATGTTGATTATGTATGATATTCATTTTAAAAAGCATCTTTTGAACTTATAAAGAAGATGGATGTCCTCTGAAAACAAATAACATTAGATCAAGACTAAAAATCAATAAAAGAAAATACGCACTGGATGACGGTAATTAACGAGAAGTACCAGAATATAAAACGGCAACGTACTTGCGAGCCTTCTGACAATGTAAATGTCCATACACGGCGGTATCACTTGAAATCAGATGAACCTCCTTCTAGTTTGCCTCCTATTACATAATAAAACAAAATGAACGCAACCACATACGCGTCCAGCTATTCTGGTTATCCAGGATATACCTTAATAATATATATTAAATTATTATATATATTATATACTATTAAGGTATATCCTAGATTCCAATACTTCAATAATAATAATCAGCCTCTTTAGTTCTTTCAATATCCGCAGCGTGCGTAGTGACTAGTGTCGCTATTCGGCCTTATGTTACTTATTTGTCCCATTTTAATGGTTGAAATTGGCATGAAATACAACAATCGTGAAATAGTTAATAAAGGGCCACGATAAATACTATGAAGAATGTTCAGAGGAGTTGTTCATATTTATACCTGCAGCTGAGTTTTATCATCGGATGGTTCTACGGTAGACATAAAAATAGAATAGGTAATATGGGAAGATTTTACACTCAATATTTCTCATGCCCGAATGCTAGATCTCTTTAAATGTAGATTTGATAATGCAATTACTATTTTGAATATAGAACGGTCGTACAAGTGTCACGCACTGCCTCCAAGCTGTGATAAGGACTAACTTCACGTCTTTGCTCGCGATAAACTTGGAAAATCCATCATACTTAATTACCTAACGCTTTTAACAGTTTAGAAGAAATTCCCCCTGAGACTCGGATTAACGGGCAGTTGTCGGCTTCCGTTGATTCTGCAATTTAAATGTTCTTGATAAATATGATTGACTTAGTTTTGAGTGCTTACGAGTACGCTGTTTAAAACGTAAAAATTCATGCTTCTAATTATGTATTTATTTTAGTAATAATTTCGTAAAAATTGTTTTTTAAATACTTTGTCTTGTATAAGTACCATTCTTATGTTCACAGCCGTTGTTGTTCTTATGTCAACGCCCAAAAATTAATTCGGGTTGATGGGTGAAGAAGGCTTTCCTTTAAACAGGAATATGTCTGGCTTATGCCTTTATGGCATACTTGAACGGCTGCTACTTGTAGTGACTGGTCGGACTTGAATTCGTGTATGCGGTGATGTTAGTTTTTGACTATGTATTTGCGTGTTGTTCCCACGAGAATGTAAGTGCGTGCTCCTATTTCACCATGCCTCCTGCTGATAGAGGACAAATCTTTGTGTTTAATTTATTTTATTTTGTATTAATTACTTAAGATGTCATGTGGAACATGGTGTAATGGTTGCAGCTCCCTACAAACATTGTGTAAAACAAATAACTTGGCGATGAGAAGAGTGGCGGAGAGGTTATTGTCAGTTCTTATCTTCCGTTCCAAGCCCTTGATTTGAGAACCGTAAACGTGGCCGTAAATGTAAAATTAGAATCATTTCATATATATTTATTTTTTGACGTTCATAAGTGTAAATTTTGTTACCTATATGAATAAATTATTTATGAATTTTGAATTTTACCCTTTTTTTTGGCATTTTACCTGTGTGACCTTTTTTATTTGGAACTAAATATAGCTTATGCTAGTCAGAGATAATTTCGTAAGAAAGAATTCATTAATTAATTCTCGTCGTGAAAGAATTTTAAATCTGTCCAGTAGTTGAGTTAACGAATACATCGTTACAAATAAATAAAAACATCGCAATTTTGAAGAGTCCACGTCTTAAATTCAGTATGTGTCTTGTTTAGCGAATAAACTGAACATCTTACACGAGGAAAATATGTTATGTATTTACATAACATAGTACAAGGATATCACGGCTTGTCTGGGCATGACCCTTGTCAAGAGCGATTTGTTAGTGGCGGAGCCGAAAGCTTCTAATTTAGTTTCTCGATGTTTCTGCTAAAATCGAGATGAAAATATGGTATATAATTTCTTATTTATTTATTTCGTAATCCTACTGCTAACAAAAATAATATAAAATAACAAACAATTTTATTGCACTACACACAAAATATGTGTTGCGTACAAACACCGAAAGTCGAATCCAATGGCACCCAGCTGGGCATTGAACGCTCGACCCGTCACGAAGGTCAATAACGAATCACGCTTTACCACTACGCTAACTCTGTTAGCTATGACCCACGCACGAAATTTAGTGAAACATTTGCAAACCGACTTACTTTGAATATTCTACACAACCCTATATATACGCAATATAATATAATAATTTGACAGGTCTTCCACTTTTAAAAGAACTATTTCTTTTCTTACTTCTCCGGTTCGCGGTGTTTTGGTTTACCTTATGAGCGCGTGTTAAATGCGCACACATGCACGACCCCAGCTAACCCCGGCTATAATATAAAAAAAGTGCAATAATTAATTTTTATTATTAATTTTCAATTATTTAAATCAAGCAGTAGGTAAATAAATAGTTTTAGTTACCAAGGATTTTCACAACAATATCGTTACTTATCAAACTGAGTTGTAAAGTTTCGGACAGGCAGGAGGATGATACTCTATTTTCAAAGATAATATTATCATAGATAACTAACGGGTTTATGTTCATTACTTAGTTTAGTTTTAATAAAGCTCAAAGGTAAAGTTTTTAAAGTCAATCTGTGTATTAATTGCGTATTAAACACTAATTTGCATCAACTACATTTTCGCAATAATAGTATATAAATAAAGTCTTTTACGGTTTGATGTGTTTTCAAAAGAAGAAAAAGAATTTTCTCCAAAGTAAGACCTGTGTGTAGGCTTAAGTTAAACGTCTGTACGCCTACGATAATTTAAAAGGCTTCTTTCGAAACGATGATATTATGAAGACTTTACGATCGCACATTCTAGAAAAGTCGAGCTAATAACAAAATGCCTTTTTGAAACTCTGTTCAGTATTATCCACCAAATTTCTTTTCCGTTTGACGGAAATTTGTCTGTGGCTTTTGCCGTTAGTCTGGCGAAAATAGCCTAAATTTTTCTAATTTTTTATAGCAATATAATTATTTGAATTGAAAGAACACGAGCACTTCTTACAATTTGCATACATTCTTGGATGAAGTAATTTTTTTTATAGAATACCCCAAGTTAAGTGTTACTGGTAGTTAGATTGTCCATGGACATGGATGTATTAAAGCGGTCTCCCAGCACTTCGGGACAGTGCCAAGCGAGAACAGGTAAGACGCGTTAGAACCGGAGCTAGCCATCAGGCCCGCTTGACAGTCCGAATTTCCAAGGAAGAGTTTTGCGGACGGCACGATGCCAGAACATGATTTCCTAGTGACCTCGTTTGGTCCATTCGAGTAGGACGCAAAGAGACAGCCCAAAAGGCCGGCTTTCTCCTTCGCGGTATAGGCCAGCAAGTCATCAAACAAAGAGCTCAAACTTTGCCCCAGCAATCTCCTATTTTAAGGACGTGGAGTTAGGTATATGCATTCATATCCATTCAGTCAAGTCGAAACTGTTTATTCAATTTTATACATTTCATGATTTTCCGCCTTATAATCTTTAAAACTACACCAAATTACTTCTACTAAACATCTTCTTATATAGAACCCGAAAGCAAGTGTAAGAGCAGTCGGGTTGGTAATACCCAAAGTGGTTGGGTGGCCTACCTCTATAATAACAGAGTGGATCGAATTACGCAAACGAACTAACAGGATTTCGTTCGTGCAAGCTAAAGAAGTTAAGAACTAGAAATAAACTTTCTTGGCTTATTTTTACAAATAGTATTAGATCGACTTATATTCTATAAAATATGATTATTATTCTATATAATAGAGCCTACGGGACGCCCAAAAAGGGCAGTCATCCCCGCGCATATAACATATTATTATAAGCCAGACGTACCGCAAGTCACCGACCTACAAATTTATAATCACTGCCTTGCGATTCTGTAAATCACTTTTCGAACTCTCACAGCGGTTTTCACAGCGGCGGTCGCGCTCAAATCAGTCGTAAAGCAGTCATTTTACGATTTGGCATTCTGATAAGGAGGGAGCGTGTAGTTTATTGTTTGAGTTACAGGATCGCAAGGCAGTTTTCTTTTGATTGTCCTCTCTATGCCCTTGTTTATTGAGACTAGTTCCAAAGGCAAACGGAAAGTATATTTTATTTGAGGTTTACAAGTGATTTTCTTAAATCATATATCTTATAACTTTGCGGTTTGTTTTTTAATTACTTAACATAGTAAAATAGTTCGATCTCAGACTTTAGCGAATAAAAATGTAGTATATAGATATAAAAGTGTAAAGGTTTGCATAATTCCGTTTGTCATGAGTATTCAACACTCGACTTAGATGTACGAAATTAAGATTAAAAACATAAAATACGCCTCGGTACCATCAGGTGACACGACAATACGTGCAAGATAAATCGTGTATTTTTTTACAGTCAGCAAATCCATCTTGACGAGGGTCCAGTTTTTAGATGTACAAATAAGGATAAAACAAAGCAAATCCTGCTAGATCACGATTGGGATCTTGATCTGATTATTATGGTGGACGGAATTTGGTAAACATAATAGCATTTTGTTTTCATGTTAATAAATGAAAACTTTGTTCACCAAGATTTTCTATGGTAATGTGCTGCACGGTGTAGGAGTACTTAAGTGACTTACAATTCTAACCAAATAAAGTACGAAGTACTTCTCTCTCTCTCGACCAAGTCTCTGTTTGATTCATCAGTTTGCTTATAAAGTGTGTATCTGCATGATACACATACGTCGTAGATTTTCTCGCGATGTAAAATTTCAATTTCGCTCGCAGAAATCAGCTCTGATTGTCTGAACCTATAACCTGGACAAGCTGATTGTCGTCGGCATGGTGGAAGGCAAAAGGCCGCGGGGCAGATGGTCAACCCGTTGGTGTGACCAAGTCACGAGTCTCACGGGTCTTCCCATAACAGCTGCTCTAAAGGAAGCTATAGACTAGCAGGGCAGCAGGCACCTTACGCGACTTTCAGCAATGAAGAATAAAACTAAGAAGAAGTCTGAATCAACATAGAAAAGGAAAGCTGAACAAAGTTCGGAACTAATGAATAATTACTGTTATTTTTAGTTTAAATAAAATATCCTTAAATAATGCGTGCATTTATACGGATATTTTTAACGCGCCTAATTATATTAGGTGGAGACCTAAGCGCTGGCAGTTACCTCGGACAAAGAATTAGTCTAGCTATTCAAAGGGACTCCTTTTAATAATCTATTTTAGTTATTTTATTTAAAGGTTTGTTATTGTTTTTTGTTAAGTCAATAATAACATATCAATAATGTTAGGTATATTGATATCGATGTCAGACATACGAGTAGGTCATTATTATGAGCCATAACACACGCATTGCGTTATATACTGCTCAAAACAATTAGCGGAACAAGATTTTTCTCCTTTCTATTGCTTAAACTAAAATTAGATTTAAATTAACTTGTACGCTATTTTTTACCTTGTTCATTTGTTAATTTACTCCAATTAATAAAAAAAATCAATTTGTATTTTTTTTATTAAAAAAAAAATTAAAATGTGCATTGTAGACGAAAAACTAATTGGTGATAAAAAAGGTCCATCAAAGAAATATTCTTATATCGTTTGAATATTCGTCTTTAGTGACTTTCAGTAACGTGTGTGGCCTCCATGAGCCCTAATCACGGCTTGACAACGACGCGGCATGCTTCGTATGATCCTCCGAATATCTTCTTGTGGAATTCGCTCCCATTCTTCAATCAACGCTTCAGTGAGCTGCTGCAGTGTTTGAGGTGCAATCGGACGCTTCCGGATGCGCCTGTCAAGCAAGTCCCAAATGTGTTCAATTGGATTTAGGTCAGGGCTCATGGAAGGCCACTCCATTACACGGATTTCCTGCTGTCGTAAGTAATCTGACGTGATGGCTGCAGTATGCGGCCTGGCATTATCTTGCATTAAAAGAAAATCTGGGCCCATACCATATGCTGCGGGCCAAACATGATCTTCGAGCACATTTTCAATGTAAGTTTGAGCACACAAGCGTGCGGGAACAACGACGAGATCTGTGCGCTCGTCCAAACTAACTCCGCCCCAAACCATCACAGAGCCACATCCAAATTTGTCATATTCCTGGACTGCTGCTGCACTGTACCGCTCGCCTGGGCGTCTGTAAACACGGAGAAGACCATCGCAACGTGTTAGACGGATTCGTGATTCGTCAGTAAAAAGCACTGGCCTCCAATGTCGAAGTTGCCAATTAGCGTGATTTTGCGCGAACTGTCGGCGAGCTTGTCTATGTTGAATTGTTAGACGCACAGCCCGAACTGGTCGGCGTGATCTTAAATTGGCTTCCAACAACCTATTTCTTACCGTCTGGTCGGAAATTTCTACACCAGTAGCCGTCCTTAGTGTATTTTGTAGATCTCTTGCGGTTGTGGTGCGGTTACGTAAAGCACAGTTGACGATGTAGCGATCTTGCAAACGTGTAGTTTTTCTCTTTCGACCTTGACCACGCCTTCGTGAGTATTCTCCCGTCTCACGGTATCGCTTCCAAAGTCTGTAGATAACAGAAGGAGCTACTCCTAGATTATTTCCTACATAACGCATAGTTCGACCCTCTTTAAGCAAAGCGATAGCTCGGGAGACATGCAATTCAGTCAGATCTGGCATTATGACCTAAACTCACTCGCTTCAATGAATAACAATACTCAAAAGGCTCACTTCAATTTCTATTAATACTCAAAAGATTGAAAAAAACTACTTAAAACGTGTTTTCTGTGATTAGAAAGTAATGAAAATTCAAAGACGTCACTTTGTTTTTCGTCTACAATGCACATTTTAATTTTTTTTTAAATAAAAGAATATACAAATTGAATATTTTTATTAATTGTAGTAATTGAAAAATGAACAAGGTATAAAATAGCGTACAAGTTAATTTAAATCTAATTTTAGTTTAAGCAATAGAAAGGAGAAAAATCTTGTTCCGCTAATTGTTTTGAGCAGTATATATATAAAATACAAAGTTTAATGGGTGTCTATGGGCTGCGAAGACTGCCCTTTTTGGTCGTCCCGCAAGCTCGTTTGCCCCCCTATCTTATAAAAAAAAAAACATTGTCTTAAACAGAAGGTAGGTACACTTATAAATACAGTCAACAAATCGTACGGTTTAGTTTATTACATAAATTTATCATAAAAGAAATAAACGCCGTAAATATTTTAGAACTTCCGCAATGCACTCTCCACAGTCGCTACAAAGACAATTATTCTCTTGTTAAATTAAATGTAACTCTGTGCCTTATCTCTTCCACCCGTTCGTTAAACAAGCAGAAACATTCATTATCTGTACCTTTTTTATTCCGAAAAAGTCCAATCACATTTTTTGTTCCTTCAACCTTTCATTATAATGATAATATGCTTATTTGGCAAATTCATTTTGTAATTAACGTAAATTGGATTATTTAGATATACATCGTTGGATTTAATTATAACAATGCTTGATGAAAAACAGCACCACTGGAAATATATAATTTTAGTTATTCTAATAGCTAGTCGATGCCCGCCATCTTGTGTATGTAGAATTCGTACAAAATGACGACTGTTTTTCATGGTCTCTTTGTCAATGTAAAAAAGTTTATGTCTTGTTGAATGGTAAAACTGAATAAATATAATAAAGAAATAGATTAGAACTCGTAATGAGCAAATTGAGCTCTCATACGTGAGGTCGTAGGTTCGATCCCCGGCTGTGCGCCAATGGAATTTCTTACTATGTGCGCATTTAACATTTGCTCGAACGGTGAAGGAAAACATCGTGAGGAAACCGACATGTCTTAGACCCAAAAAAACGACGACGACGTGTGTCAGGCACTGGAGGCTGATCACCTACTTGTCTATTAGATTTAAAAATATCATGAAACAGATTCAGAAATCTGAGGCCAAGACCTAAAGATGTTGTAGAACGCCACTGATTTTTTTTTAATTAGAACTCGTAATAAAAATGTAGAAACGAAAATAATTAGGAATAATTTATTTCACATTTAGGTAGAATTTGATGTAGCGAAAAACAACATATGTATTTGTGAAAATATAACTTTCGATAAATATTAAAATAATATTATTAGTCCTTACCAGCAGTTTTCTAAAATGCTAGCTAAACTAGCTTTTCTGTGGTTCCAGTCAACATAACAGGTAGCAGGTGCACTATGAATCTTTGTTAGGAAATAATAAGGAAAGTTTAATATCGAAAGGAAGTCACAATCATTTGTTTGAACTCTATGGATGCTATAACTTTGGAAGAAACTCAACTTTCCTTTTAAACTTGTTCTTCATATACGATAAATCAAAGTGTCTTTATGTGAAGAAAATCATAAGACTTCAAACGAAATTACAGGAAGTGTTGATTATTTTGAACATTTTAATTAATCTAATTTTAATTGTTGTTTTGTTTTTGATATATTTTAACGAAATTTTAATTAATTTTGTGGCCTTACTGTGGAGTAAAGATGTTTTCATATAAAATCGTTTACGTATTAAAGCGCAAGATATAATTAGATTCGGAATAATTCTAATGAAATATACAATTAATAAAAGTAGTATATTTTTTTTAAAGTACACATGAAATAAATATTAACAATATAATCTAAATAATATTTAAATAGAGACAAGTATATAACGGCCGATAACTTCGAATTAATCAAGTTTTGAGAAATACTTATGATATTTTACTAATAATTATGTAATCGGAATTTTATAGGTACATATGTCGTATTTCTTTTGCTTTTTTAAATTCAAATAACATCGTGTTTGGTTCGATGCTCGTGTATTCTTAACCGACAGTTTGAGTATTATAATAAAAAATATAACATCATTATCAACTTTGCATCCTATCAACGATGAACCGACTTATAAGAGTACTTGAAATATGAGTATAGCAGTAATACAAAGGTCGTTGACCTATATTGACGTCAAAGAGAACTATACAATAATTAAGTGTACTATTAATCACGTCAAGATCCCACCCAGTCCCGTGTCAGTCTGTCAGGTTTTATCTAATCCACGACAAATAACTGTCTTGAGGCCTATTCTACATCTTACCTAATTTATAAGCTGTGTGTCATCTTAAACTGTATACGATTTAAAAGGAATTTTCAAGTGGAAATGAAAAATTGAACTCTCTATCAATTCTATGACAAAATTCTTATTAGGGACCTATTGTCAAACTTGACAAATGAATCTTACCGATCACATTACGGACAGAAGAGGTATGCTTGAACATACTTAAAGTTTGGACGAGGAATTGATGGCGATAAGACGTTAAAACATAATATATTAGAAACATACATCAGCTCGTATAGAGGGATCTCTATACGAGTACTTATTATTAGATATGAATAGATTTTTACCTCATACGTCAAATAATAAATGTCAACTGTCAATAATTTCAAAATTTTCGGAACCCTACACTAACTGAAACATGAAGTTAATATAATGTATGTACATTTGACAAATAATGATTAAATTAGGTTTAAATTTAAAATTAACAAATGAGGAAATAATCGATTCGATTAATTTACCGAGAATGTCACATCACTTATAACCAATAGAAAACGAGAATGTCACATCTCTTATAACCAATAGAAAAGTAGAAAATAACCGTTTCACAATTTGACGGTTTCACTTCGATAGATTACAATCTACCGAATAATAATACGTTAAATTGTAAGCAGTACGCTGAGGTTCACAATCTTTCGACAGTTTATAATCTCGCGAGATAGATTACAATCTAATGGTTTTTACAATTTTACGTTAACATATACGTAGTACACATTTTATGGTCGATACAAGTTGACATCACTACTACAAAAGAAAC